GAGGAATTATAATAATATTTATTAAGTTTCAATCTAGTCTCGGGTTTTTATCTCGAATAAATATTTAAATGACCATTTATGTAATAGCAGGACTGATTGTAGACGGCCGTTCGGTGACCTGTATTGCTGACCATTTTTGCTGTTTTCAGTTGCTACACATCGATTATAGTTTTTGAAAAAAAAGCAAAAATCTCTTAAATTAGTCAAAATTGTCAGCAAAGGGCAATAACTCCTATAGATGTTTTCAAGATATTAGACAATAAATGCATTTCATCCTCATTTTCTATTTATAGCCATGGCGACCAAGTTGGTTGATTGGTAAGAACAAAAAAAAATCCACATAATTCATACTAGATACATTAAGAATGATTAAGTTGCAGTTTGGTCCGGTGGTTTCAGAGAATTGTAAAAAAAATTATGATGACCGTGACGCCAAGGGATTGTCAATAGGCTAAAAACGTAACCTTTTCTTTTCAGCTTCAACAATATATAATGTTCCTCTTTGAATAAAGATAATTTACATTTCATCCATCCAACTGAAACTGAAATTTTTAGCACTACTGAAAAGAAAACAGTCTGCATTATACCTGGACTTCACCTATCAATAAAATATCAATGGCTGTTTACACACAGAAATAATTTGTTGACAAACGCTTTCCCAAATAGAGAATTATATTACTCTGAGCAGCAATATCAAGCATGACCTCAAGATATTATGTCAACTACAAAGGCTTCATTGAGAGAAAACTACCACCTTCACATAAACAACTCAGCCAGGGTTTTATCAGCCTCAACTAATATAACAGTCATCATCACTCAAATTAGTGGGTAAAAGCTGATCGTGCTCATATTTTCTTAATGGCTACATATTTTTTCATTATTATTTTTACCCATTACTTGCCGTTTGACCACTGCAAAATATGATGGGTGTTCTGTATGGAAAGCTAGATATACTGATCCTTCCAAGCACTGTAAAACACATCCATTTTAGTGAGAGTTCATGCCCTAAGTTAAATTTTTGTGTGTTTGCTGTTTGTATACATTTGTTTTTAGTGGTATGTGGATCTGTCTCATTGTGTTTTATTTGTATCCTCTAGACTTGTACTGATTTCCCATTTCACCAACTACTGTTTTCAGAATTTTATATGCTCATATTTATTCAGAGCATTAACTTACAAAGAAGCTAAATATTAATACATTTTATCGCATCAAAACTAAAATAATTCACACATTCATTTAAACATATTTTATTAGCATATAAATCCTTGCTATTACGTAATAGCAAAAAGGATCAGACACAAATTATCAAAACTTAGAAAGTCATTTCAGAAAATTGATTCTAACATTCCTACATATTTTCCATGTAATACTGAGCCTGACATATATTTTCCATGTAATACTGAGCCTGACATATATTTTTGGTGCACTTGTCTTTTGTTTCATACTGTATATTGACCTCTTTTTTTGTGTGTGAAATCGGTCATTATCTTATTGATATTTTCCTGACATCTTGTCTTGTTCATATTTTTGTATACATTTGAACAGATACTTGTGAAATGTGTAAGCAAGGATTTGTATAGTGAGACACTATCACTATACAAATCCTTGGTGTGAGTTTTCTTTCATTTTCTTTTCAACATCATATGAAATTTCAATATATCTATCATAATTGTAGCCATTTTATGTCCCATTTAACATGTCTAAGTATATCTTTATGATAATTTTTATTTTCTAAAGTTATGAATGTTAAAAAAATGTATCCTGTTATCTAATACACATGCTTATGTTTACCAATATTCACATGTACATAAACGTGTATTTGTTTATGTCTTGTAATAAACATTTCCATTGGTCTAAATTGGACCCATAACTTATGTTAAGTTCTGAGTCTAAAGTTGCTACTTATGTTGCATGTATTTCAGTAGTGGCAGTCAGGGGCGGATCAAGGATTTTAGGTTAGGGGGTGCAAACTTAAATTTTCGCCGAGTTAAGCAAGGTTAAATTATCGAAATATTCTTTATCAAGCTGAGGACAACCCATGCTTTGCAAATTTTAGGGGGGCGCACGCCCACTACGCCCCGCTTGAATCCGCCCCTGGGAGTTTTCAGTACATCTAACCATAACGCCTGCTCCACTCATAATTATTTGTATGGAGCAGATATATTTTGCTTTCAATTATTTCTATACTGCCTGTTTCTTTTTTGTCCTTGTATATATTTAAACATGGCAGCGGCCAGTGCAGATGTCATATGTGGCAGACTTTTTCTTTCTTTTGTAATAAAGTAAGCTGCACACATAGCGAGCTGATCCCATAATGATAGGTATTTTTGTTTGTATGAACTAGCCTAAGTGTTGTGGTTTAAGGTTTGAATGCTTTATGTTCAGACTAAAAGAATTGTACAAGCCCCCCTTTTGGTTTATGACAGTCTTCAAAATAACATGCTTTGTAATATAACTTCTTGTTACGAAGTCGACATTTTAAATAAAGTTTTCTTTCCCTAGTTTTCTGCTTTTCCAATGTCACAATAATGTAAAAATAAATTAATTTTTATAAGACCAAATACAGGCCTATCATCTCCAAATTACCCAAGGTTTTATGCAATATATTATGCTTGAGAAAATCTTACCGTGTAAAAGAAATACAAAAAGATGTTTGCCTTTTCTTTCACAAGTCATAAGAAAAAAACTTTATATGAAGATAATGAAAAATAAAATGCTTCAATGGCCCCAGCTTGATACAACCGCAGAGGTTGAACTCTGAACAGTTGGGGCAAGTATGGACATTACATTGAAGCTTGACACAGCTCTGAATTTGGATTGTGTATCCAAGTACACCAAGAATTTAATAAATTTATTTATTAATGGACAGTATTAGCTTAGTTTTTTAAGGGGTTCGCTTCAAAAAAAATATATAAAGCATTCTGAAAATTAGTTTATACAGAATAAGAAACAAACCTACCATGAAATTCTTAAAAAAATTTACAAAAAAAAATGAAAAAAATAATTTCCAACAGATTCAGCATATCAAAAAAACCCCAAGAATTTAATTTTTGTTAAAATCAAACTATGTTTAATTTTGGACCCTTTGGATGACCAATTTTTAAACAGGCCCAAAATTAATATAATTATAATTATGTCTCGCTTTTTGTTATTTGATAATGTAAATATTGAGATTTAAATAGATGTTCTTTACCATGTAAGTAAAGCAAATATTCAAAGTCAATGAACCATGACTGAAGGTGCATGGCTAAACAATCTCCATGGAAATGAGATGTGCCAATGCTGATACAACTGCATATCAAATACCATTGACTTATCAGAAATCAAATTAAAACCAAATAAAATGCTCCGCTGGGCCCAGCTTGATACGACTGAAGAGGTCGAACCTTGAACAGTAGGGGCATGTATGGACACAACATTCAAGCTTGATACAGCACTGAATTTGGATTGTGATTAAATATTTAACGCAGCATAGGTTTCTGACACAGAATGAATGTGGTCTAAGAACTTAAAAATTTTTAATATACCTATTCAAACCATATTATTATTATTTGCTTTTATATATAAATCAGAAATAACCAATTTAAAATGGAAAATTTTAAAGAAAATAAAATGCTCCGCAGGGCGCAGCTTGATACGAATGCAGAGGTCGAACCCTGAAAAGTTCGGTCAAGTATGGACACAACATTCAAGCTTGATACAGCTTTGCATTTGGATTGTGATTAAATATTTGACACAGTATAGGTTTCTAACACAGAATGAATGTGGTCTAAGAACTTTTAAATTGGACATTCACCTATTATGGTCCAATATCCAAAATCTAAATACATGGTTAGATTCAGCATATCAAAGAACCCCAAGAATTCAATTTTTGGTGAAATCAAACAAAGTTTAATTTTGGACCCTTTTGACCTCAATGTGGACAAAGTTGATAACGGGGCCCAAAAATCAAAACTCTAAATACATGGTTAGATTCAGCATATCAAAGAACCCCATATATTCAATTTTTGTTGAAATCAAACAAATTTTAATTTTGGACCCTGATTTGGACCAACTTGAAAACTGGGCCCATAATCAAAAATCTAAATACATGTTTAGATTCAGCATATCAAAGAACCCTAAGAATTCAATTTTTGTTAAAATCAAACTAATTTTAATTTTGGACCCTTTGGACCTTAATGTAGACCAATTTGAAAACGGAACCAAAAATTAAGAATCTAAATACAAGGTTAGATTCGGCATATCAAAGAACCCCAATAATTCAATTTTTGATGAAATCAAACAAAGTTTAATTTTGGACCCTTTGGACCTCAATGTGGACCAATTTAAAAACGGGGCCCAAAATCCAAAAACTTAATACACGGTATGATTCAGCATATTAAATAAAATGCTCCGCAGGGCGCAGCTTGATACGTCCGCAGAGGTCGAACCCTGAACAGTTGGGGCAAGTATGGACACAACATTCAAGCTTGATACAACTTTGAATTTGGATTGTGATTAAATATTTGACACAGCATAGGTTTCTGACACAGAATGAATGTGGTCTAAGAACTTAATAATTTTTAATTGGACATTCACCTATTATGGTCCAATATCCAAAATCTAAATACATGGTTAGATTCAGCATATCAAAGAACCCCAAGAATTCAATTTTTGATGAAATCAAAGAACCCCAAGAATTCAATTTTTGATGAAATCAAACAAAGTTTAATTTTGGACCCTTTTGACCTCAATGTGGACAAAGTTGATAACGGGGCCCAAAAATCAAAAATCTAAATACATGGTTAGATTCAGCATATCAAAGAACCCCATATATTCAATTTTTGTTGAAATCAAACAAAGTTTAATTTTGGACCCCAATTTGGACCAACTTGAAAACTGGGCCCATAATCAAAAATCTAAATACATGTTTAGATTCAGCATATCAAAGAACCCTAAGAATTCAATTTTTGTTAAAATCAAACTAAGTTTAATTTTGGACCCTTTGGACCTTAATGTAGACCAATTTGAAAACGAATCTAAATAAAATGCTCCGCAGGGCGCAGCTTGATACGACCGCAGAGGTCGAACCCTGAACAGTTGGGGCAAGTATGGACACAACATTCAAGCTTGATACAGATTTGCATTTGGATTGTGATTAAATATTTGACACAGCATAGGTTTCTGACACAGAATGAATGTGGTCTAAGAACTTAAAAATTTTAAATTGGACATTCACCTATTATGGTCCAATATCCAAAATCTAAATACATGGTTAGATTCAGCATATCAAAGAACCCCGAGAATTCAATTTTTGATGAAATCAAACAAAGTTTAATTTTGGACCCTTTTGACCTCAATGTGGACAAAGTTGATAAAGGGGCCCAAAAATCAAAAATCTAAATACATGGTTAGATTCAGCATATCAAAGAACCCCATATATTCAATTTTTGTTGAAATCAAACAAAGTTTAATTTTGGACCCGATTCAGACCAACTTGAAAACTGGGCCCATAATCAAAAATCTAAATACATGTTTAGATTCAGCATATCAAAGAACCCTAAGAATTCAATTTCTGTTAAAATCAAACTAAGTTTAATTCTGGACCCTTTGGACCTTAATGTAGACCAATTTGAAAACGGAACCAAAAATTAAGAATCTAAATACACGGTTAGATTCGGCATATCAAAGAACCCCAATAATTCAATTTTTGATGAAATCAAACAAAGTTTAATTTTGGACCCTTTGGACCTCAATGTGGACCAATTTAAAAACGGGGCCCAAAATCCAAAAACTAAATACACGGTTAGATTCAGCATATTAAAGAACCCCAAGAATTCAAGAATAAAACCCCATTGAAATTGGTCAAGAAATAAGCAATTTATACGAAGTATCTTCTTTTGCACAATACTTTGCAATTAAATATTTCTTGCTATTGCGCAATACTGCACAATTGACAATTTCTTGCTATTGCGCAATATTGTGCTATTGGATATTTCTTGCTATTGCGCAATACTGTGCAATTGAAGATTTCTTGCTATTGCGCAATACTGTGCAATTGAAGATTTCTTGCTATTGTGCAATACTGTGCAATTGAAAATTTCTTGCTATTGCACAATACTTATTATATAATAATTTACACATCCTGTTTGGTGTGTATCTCCTACCATATCATTATTATTTGCTTTTAAATATAAATCAGAAATAACCAACTTAAAATGGAAAATTTTAAAAGAAAAAAAAAAGGAAAAAAAGAAAAAAAAGGAAAAAAAGAAAAAAAAAGAAAAAAAAAAAAAAATCCCCCCCCCAAATTTTTTGAACCCCCTTATGATTCATCACCCCCAAACTCAATCCCAGCCTTCCCTTTGTGGTATGGTACCTTGCAGTACAATTTCAGAGAGATCCATACACTTGAACACAAGTTATTGTCTGGAAACTAGAAAAATGTGTTTTTTGGCCCCTTTTTGGCCCCAAATTCCTAAACAATTAGGGCAATTACCCCCAAACTCAAACCCAGCTTTCCCTTTGTGATATGGAACCTTGTAGTACAATATCAGAAAGATCCATACACTTACACACAAGTTATTGTCCTGAAACTAGAAAAATGCTTGTTTTTTGCCCCTTTTTGGCCCCTAATTCCTAAAATATTGAGGCAATTACCCCCATCATCAATACCAGCCTTCCCTTTGTGGTATGGTATCTTGCAGTACAATTTCAGAAAGATCCATACACTTGAACACAAGTTATTGTCTGGAAACTAGAAAAATGCTTATTTTTGGCCCCTTTTTGGCCCCCAATTCCTAAACGTTTCAGCAATTACCCCCAAACTCAATTCCAGCTTTTCCTTTGTGATATGGAACCTTGTAGTACAATTTCAGAAAGATCCATGCACTTACACACAAGTTATTGTCATGAAACTAGAAAAATGCTTGTTTTTTTGCCCCTTTTTGGGCCCCTAATTCCTAATATTTTGAGGCAATTACCCCCAAAATCAATCCCAGCATTCCTTTTGTAATATGGAACCTTGTGGTACAATGTCAGGGAGATCCATACACTAACACACAAGTTATGTCTGGAAGTTACAAAAATGCTTATTTTTGGCCCCTTTTTGGCCCCTAATTCCTTTACTGTTGGTACCATAACCCCCAAAATCAATCCCAAATTTCCTTTTGTGGTATTGAACCTTGTGGTAAAATTTCATAGAGATCCATTCACTTAAACTAAAGTTAGAGTGCGAAAACCAATGTGTCTTCGGACGACGCCGGACGACGCCAGACGACGACGACGACGACGACGACGACGACGACGCCGGACGACGACGACGCCAACGTCATACCAATATACGACCACAAAAAATTTTTTGCGGTCGTATAAAAAATCGGTTAGATTCAGCATATCAAAGAACCCCAAGAATTCAATTTTTGATGAAATCAAACAAAGTTTAATTTTGGACCCTTTTGACCTCAGTGTGGACAAAGTTGATAACGGGGCCCAAAAATCAAAAATCTAAATACATGGTTAGATTCAGCATATCAAAGAACCCCATATATTCAATTTTTGTTGAAATCAAACAAAGTTTAATTTTGGACCCCAATTTGGACCAACTTGAAAACTGGGCCCATAATCAAAAATCTAAATACATGTTTAGATTCAGCATATCAAAGAACCCTAAGAATTCAATTTTTGTTAAAATCAAACTAAGTTTAATTTTGGACCCTTTGGACCTTAATGTAGACCAATTTGAAAACGAATCTAAATAAAATGCTCCGCAGGGCGCAGCTTGATACGACCGCAGAGGTCGAACCCTGAACAGTTGGGGCAAGTATGGACACAACATTCAAGCTTGATACAGATTTGCATTTGGATTGTGATTAAATATTTGACACAGCATAGGTTTCTGACACAGAATGAATGTGGTCTAAGAACTTAAAAATTTTAAATTGGACATTCACCTATTATGGTCCAATATCCAAAATCTAAATACATGGTTAGATTCAGCATATCAAAGAACCCCGAGAATTCAATTTTTGATGAAATCAAACAAAGTTTAATTTTGGACCCTTTTGACCTCAATGTGGACAAAGTTGATAAAGGGGCCCAAAAATCAAAAATCTAAATACATGGTTAGATTCAGCATATCAAAGAACCCCATATATTCAATTTTTGTTGAAATCAAACAAAGTTTAATTTTGGACCCGATTCAGACCAACTTGAAAACTGGGCCCATAATCAAAAATCTAAATACATGTTTAGATTCAGCATATCAAAGAACCCTAAGAATTCAATTTCTGTTAAAATCAAACTAAGTTTAATTCTGGACCCTTTGGACCTTAATGTAGACCAATTTGAAAACGGAACCAAAAATTAAGAATCTAAATACACGGTTAGATTCGGCATATCAAAGAACCCCAATAATTCAATTTTTGATGAAATCAAACAAAGTTTAATTTTGGACCCTTTGGACCTCAATGTGGACCAATTTAAAAACGGGGCCCAAAATCCAAAAACTAAATACACGGTTAGATTCAGCATATTAAAGAACCCCAAGAATTCAAGAATAAAACCCCATTGAAATTGGTCAAGAAATAAGCAATTTATACGAAGTATCTTCTTTTGCACAATACTTTGCAATTAAATATTTCTTGCTATTGCGCAATACTGCACAATTGACAATTTCTTGCTATTGCGCAATATTGTGCTATTGGATATTTCTTGCTATTGCGCAATACTGTGCAATTGAAGATTTCTTGCTATTGCGCAATACTGTGCAATTGAAGATTTCTTGCTATTGTGCAATACTGTGCAATTGAAAATTTCTTGCTATTGCACAATACTTATTATATAATAATTTACACATCCTGTTTGGTGTGTATCTCCTACCATATCATTATTATTTGCTTTTAAATATAAATCAGAAATAACCAACTTAAAATGGAAAATTTTAAAAGAAAAAAAAAAGGAAAAAAAGAAAAAAAAGGAAAAAAAGAAAAAAAAAGAAAAAAAAAAAAAAATCCCCCCCCCAAATTTTTTGAACCCCCTTATGATTCATCACCCCCAAACTCAATCCCAGCCTTCCCTTTGTGGTATGGTACCTTGCAGTACAATTTCAGAGAGATCCATACACTTGAACACAAGTTATTGTCTGGAAACTAGAAAAATGTGTTTTTTGGCCCCTTTTTGGCCCCAAATTCCTAAACAATTAGGGCAATTACCCCCAAACTCAAACCCAGCTTTCCCTTTGTGATATGGAACCTTGTAGTACAATATCAGAAAGATCCATACACTTACACACAAGTTATTGTCCTGAAACTAGAAAAATGCTTGTTTTTTGCCCCTTTTTGGCCCCTAATTCCTAAAATATTGAGGCAATTACCCCCATCATCAATACCAGCCTTCCCTTTGTGGTATGGTATCTTGCAGTACAATTTCAGAAAGATCCATACACTTGAACACAAGTTATTGTCTGGAAACTAGAAAAATGCTTATTTTTGGCCCCTTTTTGGCCCCCAATTCCTAAACGTTTCAGCAATTACCCCCAAACTCAATTCCAGCTTTTCCTTTGTGATATGGAACCTTGTAGTACAATTTCAGAAAGATCCATGCACTTACACACAAGTTATTGTCATGAAACTAGAAAAATGCTTGTTTTTTTGCCCCTTTTTGGGCCCCTAATTCCTAATATTTTGAGGCAATTACCCCCAAAATCAATCCCAGCATTCCTTTTGTAATATGGAACCTTGTGGTACAATGTCAGGGAGATCCATACACTAACACACAAGTTATGTCTGGAAGTTACAAAAATGCTTATTTTTGGCCCCTTTTTGGCCCCTAATTCCTTTACTGTTGGTACCATAACCCCCAAAATCAATCCCAAATTTCCTTTTGTGGTATTGAACCTTGTGGTAAAATTTCATAGAGATCCATTCACTTAAACTAAAGTTAGAGTGCGAAAACCAATGTGTCTTCGGACGACGCCGGACGACGCCAGACGACGACGACGACGACGACGACGACGCCGGACGACGACGACGCCAACGTCATACCAATATACGACCACAAAAAATTTTTTGCGGTCGTATAAAAAATCGGTTAGATTCAGCATATCAAAGAACCCCAAGAATTCAATTTTTGATGAAATCAAACAAAGTTTAATTTTGGACCCTTTTGACCTCAGTGTGGACAAAGTTGATAACGGGGCCCAAAAATCAAAAATCTAAATACATGGTTAGATTCAGCATATCAAAGAACCCCATATATTCAATTTTTGTTGAAATCAAACAAAGTTTAATTTTGGACCCCAATTTGGACCAACTTGAAAACTGGGCCCATAATCAAAAATCTAAATACATGTTTAGATTCAGCATATCAAAGAACCCTAAGAATTCAATTTTTGTTAATATCAAACTAAGTTTAATTTTGGACCCTTTGGACCTTAATGTAGACCAATTTGAAAACGGAACCAAAAATTAAGAATCTAAATACACGGTTAGATTCGGCATATCAAAGAACCCCAATAATTCAATTTTTGATGAAATCAAACAAAGTTTAATTTTGGACCCTTTGGACCTCAATGTGGACCAATTTAAAAACGGGGCCCAAAATCCAAAAACTTAATACACAGTTAGATTCAGCATATTAAAGAACCCCAAGAATTCAAGAATAAAACCCCATTGAAATTGGTCAAGAAATAAGCAATTTATAGGAAGTATCTTCTTTTGCACAATACTGTGCAATTGAATATTTCTTGCTATTGCGCAATACTGTACAATTGACAATTTCTTGCTATTGTGCAATATTGTGCAATTGGATATTTCTTGCTATTGCACAATACTGTGCAATTGAAGATTTCTTGCTATTGCACAATACTGTGCAATTGAAGATTTCTTGCTATTGTGCAATACTGTGCAATTGAAAATATCTTGCTATTGCACAATACTTATTATATAATAAAATGCTCCGCAGGGCGCAGCTTGATACGACCGCAGAGGTCGAACCCTGAACAGTTGGGGCAAGTATGGACACAACATTCAAGCTTGATACAGCTCTGAATTTGGATTGTGATTAAATATTTGACACAGCATAGGTTTCTGACACAGAATGAATGTGGTCTAAGAACTTAAAAATTTTAAATTGGACATTCACCTATTATGGTCCAATATCCAAAATCTAAATACATGGTTAGATTCAGCATATCAAAGAACCCCAAGAATTCAATTTTTGATGAAATCAAACAAAGTTTAATTTTGGACCCTTTTGACCTCAATGTGGACAAAGTTGATAATGGGGCCCAAAAATCAAAAATCTAAATACATGGTTAGATTCAGCATATCAATGAACCCCATATATTCAATTTTTGTTGAAATCAAACAAAGTTGAATTTTGTACCCCATTTGGACCCCCATTTGGACCAACTTGAAAACTGGGCCCATAATCAAAAATCTAAATACATGTTTAGATTCAGCATATCAAAGAACCCTAAAAATTCATTTTTTTGTTAAAATCAAACTAAGTTTAATTTTGGACCCTTTGGACCTTAATGTGGACCAATTTAAAAACGGGGCCCAAAATCCAAAAACTTAATACACGGTTAGATTCAGCATATTAAAGAACCCCAAGAATTGAAGAATAAAACCCCATTGAAATTGATCAAGAAACAAGAAATGATTGTAACAGGATGCTGTTACGAAGTCTCCCAAACGAAGCTCCCATAATTCGTAATTCCCAGGGTCGCCTGACATTGGGCAACGTCCAGTGAAAATTGGTTTGGTCCAGTAAAGTTATATGCATTAGTGATGCCTGGGGACTAACCTTGTATATCATTCAAATCATCTTGGCATGACAAACCAGAATATATATGGTTTAGGGGTGGGGATCTCGACCATTTACAAGATACTAGAACATTGGGGGTGGGGAGGAACCCCTGGGGACTGGCCCTATACGTCATTCAAATGTTCATTACATGACGAACAGGAATATATATGGTTTAGGGGTGGGGATCTCAACCATTTACAAGATATAAGAACCTTCTCAAATGGCAGGGGGTCGGGATGACCCCTGGGGACTAACCCTGTATATCATTCAAACCATCTTCGCATGACAAACCAGAATATATATGGTTTAGGGGTGGGGATCTTGACCACTTAGAAGATATTAGAACTTTCTTAAATGGCAGGGGGTGGGGGTGACCCCTGGGGACTAACCCTGTATTTCATTTGATGTGCTTTATCATGACAAACCAGAATATATATGGTTTAGGGGTGGGGATCTCGACCATTTACAAGATATTAGAACTTTCTCAAATGGCAGGGGGTCGGGATGACCCCTGGGGACTAACCCTGTATATCATTCAAACCATCTTAGCATGACAAACCAGAATATATATGGTTTAGGGGTGGGGATCTTGACCACTTAGAAGATATTAAAACTTTCTTAAATGGCAGGGGGTGGGGGTGACCCCTGGGGACTAACCCTGTATTTCATTTGATGTGCTTTATCATGAAAAACCAGAATATATATGGTTTAGGGGTGGGGATCTCGACCATTTACAAGATATTAGAAACTTTCTCAAATGGCAGGGGGTCGGGATGACCCCTGGGGACAAACCCTGTATATCATTCAAACCATCTTAGCATGACAAACCAGAATATATATGGTTTAGGGGTGGGGATCTTGACCAATAACAAGATATTAGAACTTTCTTAAATGGCAGGGGGTGGGGGTGACCCCTGGGGACTAACCCTGTATAACATTTGATGTGCTTTATCATGACAAACCAGAATATATATGGTTTAGGGGTGGGGATCTCGACCATTTACAAGAAATTAGAACTTTCTCAAATGGCAGGGGGTCGGGATGACCCCTGGGGACTAACCCTGTATATCATTCAAACCATCTTAGCATGACAAACCAGAATATATATGGTTTAGGGGTGGGGATCTTGACCACTTACAAGATATTAGAACTTTCTTAAATGGCAGGGGGTGGGGGTGACCCCTGGGGACTAACCCTGTATTTCATTTGATGTGCTTTATCATGACAAACCAGAATGTATATGGTTTAGGGGTGGGGATCTCAACCATTTACAAGATATTAGAACTTTCTCAAATGGCAGGGGGTCGGGATGACCCCTGGGGACTAACCCTGTATATCATTCAAACCATCTTAGCATGACAAACCAGAATATATATGGTTTAGGGGTGGGGATCTTGACCACTTACAAGATATTAGAACTTTCTTAAATGGCAGGGGGTGGGGGTGACCCCTGGGGACTAACCCTGTATTACATTTGATGTGCTTTATCATGACAAACCAGAATATATATGGTTTAGGGGTGGGGATCTCGACCATTTACAAGATATTAGAACTTTCTCAAATGGCAGGGGGTCGGGATGACCCCTGGGGACTAACCCTGTATATCATTCAAACCATCTTAGCATGACAAAGCAGAATATATATATATGGTTTAGGGGTGGGGATCTTGACCACTTACAAGATATTAAAACTTTCTTAAATGGCAGGGGGTGGGGGTGACCCCTGGGGACTTACCCTGTATTACATTTGATGTGCTTTATCATGACAAACCAGAATATATATGGTTTAGGGGTGGGGATCTCGACCATTTACAAGATATTAGAAACTTTCTCAAATGGCAGGGGTCGGGATGACCCCTGGGGACTAACCCTGTATATCATTCAAACCATCTTAGCATGACAAACCAGAATATATATGGTTTAGGGGTGGGGATCTTGACCACTGACAAGATATTAGAACTTTCTTAAATGGCAGGGGGTGGGGGTGACCCCTGGGGACTAACCCTGTATTGATGTGCTTTATCATGACAAACCAGAATATATATGGTTTAGGGGTGGGGATCTCGACCATTTACAAGATATTAGAACTTTCTCAAATGGCAGGGGGTCGGGATGACCCCTGGGGACTAACCCTGTATATCATTCAAACCATCTTAGCATGACAAACCAGAATATATATGGTTTAGGGGTGGGGATCTTGACCACTTACAAGATATTAGAACTTTCTTAAATGGCAGGGGGTGGGGGTGACCCCTGGGGACTAACCCTGTAATTCATTTGATGTGCTTTATCATGACAAACCAGAATGTATATGGTTTAGGGGTGGGGATCTCAACCATTTACAAGATATTAGAACTTTCTCAAATGGCAGGGGGTCGGGATGACCCCTGGGGACTAACCCTGTATATCATTCAAACCATCTTAGCATGACAAACCAGAATATATATATGGTTTAGGGGTGGGGATCTTGACCACTTACAAGATATTAGAACTTTCTTAAATGGCAGGGGGTGGGGGTGACCCTTGGGGACTTACCCTGTATTACATTTGATGTGCTTTATCATGACAAACCAGAATATATATGGTTTAGGGGTGGGGATCTCGACCATTTACAAGATATTAGAACTTTCTCAAATGGCAGGGGGTCGGGATGACCCCTGGGGACTAACCCTGTATATCATTCAAACCATCTTAGCATGACAAACCAGAATATATATGGTTTAGGGGTGGGGATCTTGACCACTTACAAGGTATTAGAACTTTCTTAAATGGCAGGGGGTGGGGGTGACCCCTGGGGGACTATTCCTGTATTTCATTTTAAGGGCTTTATCATTTAGAACATTTTCAATTAAAAAGATTGTGTCTATCACAAACGGTTTTCAATTTATAATCATTTGAAAATTTAAAAAAATAAAATCCCATAGGGTTCTATAGTAAAACCCTCTTTTCTTTTTGTCCCTCAAAGTACCCCTTTATAAACCCCATTGCACAAACAAAACCCTGATTGCACCACTAGACATGTTAGTCTAACATATTGTGAAACCCTAAGTTAATCTAACAAGCGGTTTTGGAGAACGGGTGCGGACAAGTTCAAATTTAAAAGCGGCGGAAGAAGAAGAAGAAGAAGAAGAAGAATAATAATAATAACTGAGCAAAAACAATAAGTCTTCCCAAACTTCGTTTGGGAGACTTAATAAGCAATTTATACGAAGTACAAATGTATCTTCTTTTGCACAATACTGTGTAATTGAATATTTCTTGCTATTGCGCAATACTGTACAATTGACAATTTCTTGCTATTGCACAATATTGTGCTATTGGATATTTCTTGCTATTGCGCAATACTGTGCAATTGAAGATTTCTTGCTATTGCGCAATACTGTGCAATTGAAGATTTCTTGCTATTGTGCAATACAATTTTAAAAGAAAAAAAAAAAAAGGAAAAGAAGAAAAAAAAAAAAAAAAAAAATCCCCCCCCCCAAATTTTTGGAACCCCCTTATGATTCATCACCCCCAAACTCAATCCCAGCCTTCCCTTTGTGGTATGGTACCTTGCAGTACAATTTCAGAGAGATCCATACACTTGAACACAAGTTATTGTCTGGAAACTAGAAAAATGCTTATTTTTGGCCCCTTTTTGGCCCCCAATTCCTAAACGTTTCGGGCAATTACCCCCAAACTCAATTCCAGCTTTCCCTTTGGGATATGGAACCTTGTAGTACAATTTCAGAAATATCCAAACACTTATACACAAGTTATTGTCATGAAACTAGAAAAATGCTTGTTTTTTGCCCTTTTTTGGCCCCTAATTCCTCAAATTTTGAGGCAATTACCCCCACAATCAATCCGAGCATTCCCTTTGTGATATGGAACCTTGTGGTACAATGTCAGAGAGATCCATACACTTGCATACAAGTTATTGTCTGGAAGTTACAAAAATGCTTATTTTTGGCCCCTTTTTGGCCCCTAATTCCTTAACTGTTGGTACCATAACCCCCAAAATCAATCCCAACCATCCTTTCGTGGTATAGAACCTTATGGTAAAATTTCATGGAGATCCATTCACTTAAACTAAAGTTAGAGTGCGAAAACCAATGTGTCTTCGGACGACGCCGGACGACGCCAGACGACGACGACGACGACGACGACGCCAACGTCATACCAATATACGACCAAAAAAATTTTAATTTTTGCGGTCGTATAAAAACTTACACATCCTGTTTGGTGTGTATCTCCTACCATATCATTATTATTTGCTTTTAAATATAAATCAGAAATAACCAACTTAAAATGGAAAATTTTAATAGAAAAAAAAAAGGAAAAAAAGAAAAATAAACTGCTTCGCTGAGCGCAGCTGGATACGCCCGCAGAGGTCCAACCCTGAACAGTTGGGGCAAAAATGGACACAATATTCAAGCTTGATACAGGTCTGAATTTGGATTGTATTAAATATTTGACATATTATAGGTTTCTGAATAAATGTAGTCAAAGAACTTGAAATTGGTTATATGAATATTGAATTTATATTCAATTAAAGATTTCTTGCTGTTGTGCAACACACTCTGCTGTTGTGCAATACTTAGTAAATCTGTTGTCAGACTATAAACAAATAAAGTTCAATTAATTCTCAATGTCATATTAGAAATTTATGAAAATGTAAAGGGAGCTTACAGCAATAGATATAAACAGTTCACCAAAGTTTCATGAGAATTGCTGACAGCATTTTTGATTTTTTGTTCGAAAACTGGAAAATCCCCCTTTTTTATGAATAAAACCCTGTAACTCGGAAACGTAAAATCTAAAATTTATAAAAATCGAAAGGGAGCTCATGTCAATAGATATAAACAATTCACCACAATTTCTTGCAAGTTGGTGAAAGCATTCTTGAGTTATTGTCTGAAAACTGTAAAATCCCCCCTTTTTTAATGAATAAAACTCCATAACTCAGAAATGTAAAAAGTAAAATTTATAAAATTCTAAACGGAGCTTACATCAATAGATATAAACAAGTCACCATAGTTTCATACGAACTGCTGAAAGCATTTTTGATTTTTTGTTCGAAAACTGTTAATCCCCCTTTTTTTATGAATAAAACCCTGTAACTCGGAAACGTAAAATCTAAAATATACAAAAATCGAAAGGGAGCTCATGTCAATAGATATACACAGTTCACCACAATTTCTTGCAAGTTGGTGAAAGCATTCTTGAGTTATTGTCCAAAAACTGGAAAATCCCCCTTTTTTTAATGAATAAAACCCCATAACTCAGAAACGTAAAATCTAAAATTTATAAAAAACGAAAGGAAGCTCACGTCGATAGATATAAACAATTCACCAAAGTTTTATGCAAATTGGTTTAAGCGTTTTTGAGTTAATGTCCGACATGTTGACGACGGACGGACAGACGGACGGACGGACAGACGGACAGACGGACAAGGGTATACCATAATACGTCCCGTAAACGGGCGTATAAAAATGAAAAAAAAAAATCCCCCCCCAAATTTTTTGAACCCCCTTATGATTCATCACCCCCAAACTCAATCCCAGCCTTCCCTTTGTGGTATGGTACCTTGCAGTACAATTTCAGAGAGATCCATACTCTTGAACACAAGTTATTGTCTGGAAACGAGAAAAATGTGTTTTTTTGGCCCCAAATTCCTAAACGTTTAAGGCAATTACCCCCAAACTCAAACCAAGCTTTCCCTTTGTGATATGGAACCTTGTAGTACAATTTCAGAAAGATCCATACACTTACACACAAGTTATTGTCCTGAAACTAGAAAAATGCTTGTTTTTTGCCCCTAATTCCTATAATTTTGAGGCAATTACCCCCAAAATCAATCCCAGCATTCCTTTTGTGATATGGAACCTTGTGGTACAATGTCAGAGAGATCCATACACTAACACACAAGTTATGTCTGGAAGTTACAAAAATGCTTATTTTTGGCCCCTTTTGGCCCCTAATTCCTTTACTGTTGGTACCATAACCCCCAAAATCAATCCCAACCTTCCTTTTGTGGTATTGAACCTTGTGGTAAAATTTCATAGAGATCCATTCACTTAAACTAAAGTTAGAGTGCGAAAACCAATGTGTCTTCGGACGACACAGGACGACGACGACAACGACAACGACGACGCCAACGTCATACCAATATACGACCACAAAAATTTTTTTGTGGTCGTATAAAAACCCCAAGAATTCAAGAATAAAACCCCATTGAAATTGGTCAAGAAATAAGCAATTTATACGAAGTATCTTCTTTTGCACAATACTGTGCAATTAAATATTTCTTGCTATTGCGCAATACTGTACAATTGACAATTTCTTGCTATTGCGCAATATTGTGCTATTGGATATTTCTTGCTATTGCGCAATACTGTGCAATTGAAGATTTCTTGCTATTGCGCAATACTGTGCAATTGAAGATTTCTTGCTATTGTGCAATACTGTGCAATTGAAAATTTCTTGCTATTGCACAATACTTATTATATAATAATTTACACATCCTGTTTGGTGTGTATCTCTACCATATCATTATTATTTGCTTTTAAATATAAATCAGAAATAACCAACTTAAAATGGAAAATTTTAAAAGAAAAAAAAAGGAAAAAAAGAAAAAAAAAAAGGAAAAAAAAAAAAAATCCCCCCCCAAATTTTTTGAACCCCCTTATGATTCATCACCCCCAAACTCAATCCCAGCCTTCCCTTTGTGGTATGGTACCTTGCAGTACAATTTCAGAGAGATCCATACACTTGAACACAAGTTATTGTCTGGAAACTAGAAAAATGTGTTTTTTGGCCCCTTTTTGGCCCCAAATTCCTAAACGTTTAGGGCAATTACCCCCACACTCAAACCCAGCTTTCCCTTTGTGATATGGAACCTTGTAGTACAATTTCAGAAAGATCCATACACTTACACACAAGTTATTGTCCTGAAACTAGAAAAATGCTTGTTTTTTGCCCCTTTTTGGCCCCTAATTCCTAAAATATTGAGGCAATTACCCCCATCATCAATCCCAGCCTTCCCTTTGTGGTATGGTACCTTGCAGTACAATTTCAGAGAGATCCATACACTTGAACACAAGTTATTGTCTGGAAACTAGAAAAATGCTTATTTTTGGCCCCTTTTTGGCCCCCAATTCCTAAATGTTTAGGACAATTACCCCCAAACTCATACCCAGCTTTCCCTTTGTGATATGGAACCTTGTAGTACAATTTCAGAAAGATCCATACACTTACACACAAGTTATTGTCATGAAACTAGAAAAATGCTTGTTTTTTGCCCCTTTTTTGGCCCCTCATTCCTAAAATTTTAAGGCAATTATCCCCAAATTCAGTCCCAGCATTCCCTTTGTGATATGCAAACTTGTGGTACAATGTCAGAGAGATCCATACACTAACACACAAGTAATGTCTGGAAGTTACAAAAATGCTTATTTTTGGCCCCTAATTCCTTAACTGTTGGTACCATAACCCCCAAAATCAATCCCAACCTTCCTCTTGTGGTATTGAACCTTATGGTAAAATTTCATAGAGATCCATTCACTTAAACTTAAGTTAGAGTGCGAAAACCAATCTGTCTTTGGACGACGCCAACGTCATACCAATATACGACCGCACATTTTTTTTGCAGTCGTATAATAAATGTGGAATGTGTCCATGGGACACAGATGATGCCCCTGCTTGCATATCATATAAAATTATAAACAGACATAACTCCATTTGGTGGAGGCAAACTAAAGTTAAGGAATGGAAACAAAAAATTCAGCAATTTTTCCCTTTGTAAAGGGGCATAACTCTAGAACAGTTAAAGTGACACCACCAAAATTCAAACTTGATCTGTATTTTGTGGTAATAACCATTGTGTATTAGTTTCATAGCATTTGGTTGAGGCAAAATAAAGTTAGAGAATGGAAACGAAATATTCAGCAATTTTTCCATTTGTAAAGGGGCATAACACTAGAACGGTTAACATGATGCCACCAAAATTCAAACTTCATCTGTGTTTTGTGGTAATAAGCATTGTGTATAAGTTTCATAACATTTGGTTGAAGCAAACTAAAGTTAGAGAACGGAAACCAACTTTGGGACGTACGGACATACGTACAGATGGACAAGGGTAAAACTTAATGGCCCCTCTGCTACAGTGGGGGCATAAAAACTATAAAAATCAGTTAATACAAATATTTCTAGCCGCCACGAATTTGCATCCCTTGGTCTCGCATTCCGACGAGACCAAAATACCAATGTGAATTTTGAAAATAAACATAATAATCCAATTTACATACATCCAATTTGGCAGATGTCTCTGTTTTCTGGTTTCTTATAAAATAAAATGCTCTGCTGGGGCGCAGCTTGATACGACCGCAGAGGTCGAACCCTGAACAGTTGGGGCAAGTATGGACACAACATTCAAGCTTGATACAGCACTGAATTTGGATTGTAATTAAATATTTGACACAGCATAGGTTTCTGACACAGAATGAAAGTGGTCTAAGAACTTAAAAATTTTCAATTTACCTATTCATACATGTGATGGACTGTGAAACTCAGATCAGGAGATTGGGAAATTTTGGTCAGGAGATTAGGACTCAGATCAGGAGGTTTTTAATCGACATTAATTTTGTTGTAAATGTAACCGTGTGCTGTAAAAATGGTCTTTTAAAGTGTGTTTTCTTCAACTTTCCATCCATTTATTATGTTTATAGTACCCTTGTACTTATAAAGTTTCTCCATCTTTATATTCTACATGTTCAATCTAACATTGTTTTTTTCCAGTATGTTCTTTAAATTTTTTACTTCATATTCTATAAAACAATCATTGCAACCAGAACATTTGTTTAGCTGTCTGCAAATAGTTTTTATTTCTTTTTTTTTTCTCTTGCAAATAGTTTATATTTGCAAACTCAGAAATTCATTCTATCTGTAAAGTTAAGGTCATAGTTATTATATAAATTTCAATTTAAGCCTTAAAAGGAAGTATAGAATCCTCAAATAATTTTCAAATTATTATTTTTTTATTTGTCCTAAGACATTTAAAATCATTTAATAACCATCCTTTTATGATTATTTGTTCAATTTATATTTTATTTATATTCTTTTAAAATTTTCATTATTAAAAGGAAAGTAACTTAAAACAGGATAAATCAAGGGAAGTAACCCAATAAATACACAGTTTTTGTTACACAACGGCAGTTAGCCTGAGGTAAAAATCGTTGCTTACCAGTATGTTTGACACCCAAGCTGACAAGTGAAGCCATATAATTATGCATGTTAATTGATTTACAGGTAAAATATAACTTCAGGTAATGTCAGTTACACCAGATGCCTGAGATGTTATGTTGGGCAGAAATTTTTCATTCATGAAAAATTTCATACACGGGATTTTTTCAACGGAAAGGGGGGAGGAGACCCCTGAAAACGGGATTATTGTACTCCCGTCGGGAGGTTCACATGTATGCCTATTCAAACCATATCATTATTATTTGCTTTTATATATAAATCAGAAATAACCAATTTAAAATGGAAAATGTTAAAGAAAAAAAAGGAAAAAAAAAATCCCCCCCCCCCCCAATTTTTTGAACCCCTTTATGATTCATCGCCCCCAAACTCAATCCCAGCTTTCCCTTTGTGGTATGGTACCTTGCAGTACAATTTCAGAGAGATTCATACACTTGAACACAAGTTATTGTCTGGAAACTAGAAAAATGCTTGTTTTTTGGCCCCTTTTTGGCCCCAAATTCCTAAATGTTTAGGGCAATTACCCCCAAACTCAATTCCAGCTTTCCCTTTGTGATATGGAACCTTGCAGTACAATTTCATAAAGATCCATACACTTACACACAAGTTATTGTCCTGAAACTAGAAAAATGCATGTTTTTTTTGCCCTTTTATGGCCCCTAATTACTAAAATTTTGAGGGAAAACCCCCAAAATCAATCCCAGCCTTCCCTTTGTGATATGGAACCTTGTAGTACAATTTCATAAAGATCCATACACTAACAAACAAGTTATTGTCATGAAACTAGAAAAATGCTTGTTTTTTGCCCCTTTTTGGCCCCTAATTCCTAATATTTGGAGGAAATTACCCCAAAAATCAATCCCAGTATTCCCTTTGTGATATGGAACCTTGTAGTACAATTTCATAAAGATCCATACACTTACAAACAAGTTATTGTCATGAAACTAGAAAAATGCTTGTTTTTTGCCCCTTTTTGGCCCCTAATTCCTAAAATTTGGAGACAATTACCCCCAAAATCAATCCCAGCATTCCCTTTGTGATATGGAACCTTGTGGTACAATGTCAGAGAGATCCATACACTTACACACAAGTTATGTCTGGAAGTTACAAAAATGCTTATTTTTGGCCCCTTTTGGCCCCTAATTCCTTAACTGTTAGTACCATAACCCCCAAAATCAATCCCCACCTTCCTTTTGTGGTATTGAACCTTATGGTAAAATTTCAATGAGATCCATTCACTTAAACTAAAGTTAGAGTGCGAAAACTAATGTGTATTCGGACGACGACGCCGGACGCCGGACGACGACGACGACGACGCCAACGTCATACCAATATACGACCACAAAAATTTTTTTGCGGTCGTATAAAAATTTAAGATGGTATAGTGGCAGATCCAGGGGGCGTAGAGGGCGAACTACCCCATTATTGACCAAAAAAGATTTTTATATCATGTTTTGAACGATTTATAAATGTATTTTTTTTAGCATAATATCGTCCTTGATCTGCCCTTGTATATTGACAATTATAAACTTGACCAACATCACTAAAATGTAAAACATTTGCCAAAGTACAATAATGATTACACAATGGAGAGATAAAGAACCGTTTATTTATGGAATTATCAATGAAATAATCATTATTGCATTTTCTGGTAGGCCTGATACTTTTTTAATCATGCATACACATTTGTCTTATTCTCTTGCTTTATAATAAACATTTAGTGTTCAGAATACTTTTTTTTTCAGACAATCATAGGAAAGATTACACCCCCCCCCCCCCCCTAGGTAGAGAGGAATATTTGTTAAGATAACCATCCTGTTGTCCTCAAATGTGCTTCCTTCAATTTTCAAGGCCGTACATATACACTATCCAAGTTTGAACATTTAATTTCAAATAATTCATATAAAAAAACATATCGAGAGCTTAAACCGGAAATTGCGTTACAACCTTCATTTCTTTGTATTTCGCCGTTAAAGTATTTGTTTTTATACAAAGCAAAATTAAATATTTTTTTTTACCAATAAAGCAGGAATTCAAATAAATGATAATTTGTCCTCTGCAAAAACCGTTTTCCTAAGGGCCATCAAACTCCTTTTGAATGACTGGTTTTAATTTACAATATACGATTATGCATTATTTTCTATGAGAAAACCGGGACTGCTTTGTGAATTTTTAGGACGAAACCGGGTCCTTCAATTTTGACAAGAACCATTTCTTTCGTTCCATGCACATTAATACAAATGTCAAGATGCTAAAAGTGACTAGTCTTGTAATCTCCATGTTAATATCTTTCTTTCCGTACTTTTGTTTCCGTATAATGTGCACTATTTAACGAGAAAATAAACATATTCAAGGCAGGGTTCACTCAAATCATCATTTTTGAGGTGCCTTTTTATTTATTTCTCCGTTAATCTAGAATGGATGTAGAAAATATTACATCTCACAATTGAAAATAGTTATAGTACACACATTTTTTGCCGTGGTAGTTTAGACATAGTGGTATCTACAAAACCATAAATTTTATTACAATACAAAAAGGTATCACAGCCTTTTGCTTATTTTCGTCTCATCTGACTATTGTAGCAAGATGGTACTAGTTTTATAAAACAAAATCAGTAAATGTTTCCAATCGTTCATGTTTGTGGTCAATAGACCAATTTGTTGGCAGATACTGTGGTTTCATTGTATTAACAAAATGCTGTCGCCATCTTTTTTGAAATTGGTATAAACCTTCACTCTTCTTTATACTTCTGACAACCAGCTTGCCATGAGGAATATAATCTCTATTGTCAACCCTGAAATAAACAGAATTAGAAAATAAAATCTTTCCACATAATAATCAAAGAATGAAGGAACCTGTGTAAGAAAACTTGCTAATTTATTATCCAAAATAAATGAGAACTTACAATAACCATTTTGCTCATTGTGGAAGGCTATACAGTGACCTGTAATTGTTCACATCTTTGTCTGATGGTCAGTATTGATAGTTGTCTCATTTGGCAATCATACCACATCTCCTTATTTTAATATTAGAAGTTAGTTCCCTGAAAATTTATTCTGCCATTTCTGATTTTTGTCATAAACAAACCCATTCCTTCCTAATCACAATTCAGTTTTTATTATACAGCCAATTGATAAAGACGACAAATTATGTTGGCCATCAGATGTTTCTGTTTTTTTTTTATAATTTCTATTAACATTGATGCTCCACTTTCAGTAGATTTTCATACAGAAACTAAGAAATCCATTAACAAAGAAACCCTTGTTTTTCCCCCTTTTTTGCCCCTAATTCCTATACGGTTTGAGCCAATACCCCCCAAAGCCAATTCTAACCATCCCTTTGTGGTATGGAAACTTGTTGTACAATTTCAGAGAGATCCATACACCGTTCCACAAGTTATTGTCTGAAAACTAGAAAAAAGCTTATTTGAGCCCCTTTTCTGGCCCGAATTCCTAAACTGTTAGGACCATAACCCCCCGAAATCAATCCCAACCTTCCTTTTGTGGTTATAAACCTTGTGTTTAAATTTCATAGATTTCTATTAACTAATAATAAAGTTATTGTCTGGAAACCATGTGTCTTCTGACGACGACGTATCAACCAGTGATGACTAAGTTCTCTAAAATTAGATATGATTTAAATTAAGCATTTCAAAGAATCCTATATATATTCAATTTATGTTGAAATCAAACACAGTTTAATTCTGGACCCCGATTTAGACCAACTTGAAAACTGGGCCCAAAATCAGAAATCTAAATATATGTTTATTAATAGATAATATAAGCTTAGTTTTTAAAGGAGTTCGCTTCATCAAAAAAAATATATAGCATTCAGAAAATTAGTTTTTACAGAATAACAAACAAACTTGCCACAAAATTCTTCCAACAATTTACCAAAGAAAAGAAGAAAAAAATCCAAAATTTTATTTATCATTAATACACTATCTTTTCAAAATCTATAAAACTTATCAGTAACAAGAAATAATTGTAACAGGATTATTTGTTGACCTATTTGTAGATCTTACTTTGCTGAACATTATTGCAGTTTACAGTTTATTTCTGTCTATAATAATATTCAAGATCATAACCAATAGCGCAGCTGGATACAAAACGCAGAGGTCCAACCCTGAACAGTTGGGGCAAAAATGGACACGCTTGATACATGTCTGAATTTGGATTGTAATTAAATATTTGACACATAATAGGTTTCTGACACAGAATAACTGTAGTCAAAGAACTTATAATTGGTTATATAATTTTGAATTAAATTTTATATTCAATTTTTTGCTTTTGTGCAATACACTTTGCTGTTGCGAATTGACCCACCCCCCCCCCCCCCCCCCCCCCCCCCCCCAAAAAAAAATTTACCCACTTTTTTTCGCTCTTATAAAGAGGCATAACTCGAGAATGGTTAAAATGACTCCACCAAAATTCAAATTTGATCTTTATTTTGTGGTAATAAGCATTGTGTATATGTTTCATTAAATTTGGTTGAGGCAAACTTCAGTTAGAGAACGGAAACTAAAAAATTTTGCAATTTTTCCATTTATAAAGGGGCATAACTCTAGAACGGTTGAAGTGACGACACCAAAATTCAAACTTGATCTGTGTTTTGTGGTAATAAGCATTGTGTATAAGTTTCATAACATTTGGTTGAGGCAAACTTAAGTTAGAGAACAGAAACTAAAAATTTTGCAATTTTTCCATTTATAAAGGGCATAACTCTAGAACAGTTAGTGTGACGCTACCACAATTCAATCTTGATCTGTGTTTTGTGGTACCGGTAATAAGCATTGAGTATAAGTTTCATAACATTTGGTTGTGGCAAACTTAAGTTAGAGAACGGAAACTAAAAATTTTGTAATTTTTCCATTTATAAAGGGGCATAATTCTAGAACGGTTAAAGTGACGCCACCAAAATTCAAACTTGATCTATGTTTTGTGGTAATAAGCATTGTGTATAAATTTCATAACATTTGGTTGAGGCAAACTCTAGTTAGAGAACGGAAACCAATTTTGGTAAGTACGTACGTACTGACAGACAAGGCTAAAACTTAATGCCCCCTCCACTACGGCGGGGGCATAAAAACCTTGAATTGTTACATTGATATGTCCTCCAAACAAAAATAACACTCTTCAAAACAAATAAACAAGGAAATATGTTTTTCCCACCTGTAATGGTACATTGTACCATGTTAACAGAAGTAATTTTTCATCCATTCAAGTTTTTTTTTCAATGAAAAATTAAAATTTGATTACAAATTAGCCACAAGGTCATCAAATCAAAGAAACAAATAGAAGACTGCACAATTCTCACTGACAAAATTTAGCCGTAAAAGGAGTTCCTATGGAAAATTGCATTGTCTATATTTACAGAGGTGCAACCTATATTGGGTGAAAAAAGAGAACATGTAGAATTTTACCAAATCGGGTTTATCTTCAGAGATTTTAATGAAATTTACCCAAATATAAAGTTTTAAAAATATTTAATTAAGATTGAGACAATTCTGGGCCTTAAATATGATGACTCAGTATAAATTCTCAGTTAATAGTATGCATAGTTTACCTAAAGACCTGTATGCAAAGTAATTTCGTGAAATATGCATATATGCACTTAAAATTGTAAAGAAGTGCTTATATTTACTCTTCACAGTCACTGAAACTTATTGATGTTTGATGAAAGTTATTGTTAGGGTGATTAGACCTGTCGAAAACCAAAAAGTAAGCCGTTACACGTAATTGTACATTCTTGTGACAGTGGCATCATTTAATTCAAGCTAGAGCTACAAAAAAATCTCTCGTTCAAATATATCTAATATTCCATTTTTACAGAAATAGGAGGGTTATTTTTCGCAGATTTGAGGCCCCCGGGGCATCCCTAACCCCTGGGTCATTAAACAGATAATTCAACCTGTGAAGGCTGTGATTTTATCATTATAAATGTCTATTGTACTGAAAACTATAACCTTGCTTTGAACTTATGCAAAAAACAGATTTTATTTTATCATTATAAATGTCTATTGTACTGAAAACAATAACCTTGCTTTGAACTTCTGTAAAAAACAGATTTTAACAGTCAGTTCTATATAACTTTTAACGAATGTATATCAAACTGGTTACTTCATAAATACAGCTGTTGCAAAAATGGCTTTGTTTAAACACTTCTAGCTCATATATATTAGCTAAATTATGTTAGATATATGGTTGGAGATGATAAGATTGTGACAAGATTTCTAAACTGACCAATTTAGGCAGAAATTGTTAACTTTTAAAGATAAATGGGTATACAGTAAGAACTGGACTGGAGACAGTGGCAGGATTGTATACCTTATATAATCTTGAATGTTTGAATGATTATCTATTAATTTTTACATTTAAAGTATTCTGAAATGCTTTCAATGTTTTGAATTTGTTTTCAGAGTAGTTTAATACATAATGCATGCATATAGGGCAGATTGACAATAATTAAAGTCTTGTTTTCAAATTCTTAAAATATTGAAGCAGAGGTAGGGTATTAAATGTACTGTAAAAACAAAGTTAGCATATATTCAGTGATTCCTTTTTTGCTATGATTCTGATAAATAAGTATTGTTGTGATAAAATGTATTATTACAGATTTTTCTATAACGGTAGAATGAATGCAAGTATAGGTTGCACTTTGTAAATACAGCGGATTCACAAACCAAGCCTCTTTTGGGGAGATATTTATTATAATATTCATAGATAGTTTGTTTTGTTTACCTACTGGTGCCCAGATATGATCTCCATATTTCATCTCACAGAGACACAACTTAGGAATTTTTCCAGTATAAATACAGTTGGATAGCGGTCAAATTGAATTCCCTGAAAGACTCAAAGTAAAGGGAGGGGTAGTACAGAATGTTAGTATAAGTTAAAACTCCTAGAAGTTAGAGGCATATAAATGTTGAAAACATGCCGCACAACCCTATGTTTAGACCTTTGCAAACAGTGCATTTGAACTTTCCATTTCAGGATATAATTTTTTACGAAACTTCATAGTAAAAAGCGCACAGTTTTAGTCGTCAAACAAGTTCCTATGGGGAATTGCATTGTCAATATTTACAGAAGTGCAACCTTAAGCTTCCAAATGACTTTACTGAGCTGCTTGTGTAGAAATCTCTTGGGTTTAATTAATCATATTTTAACATACAATTAAATATTTGATCTTTATTCTCTTCATAAGAATTACTTGTTTAATTCAAGGGTAGTTTCCTATAACAAAGTGTGTTGAGGAAAAAACATGCTTGTACAGACTTTAACATTAGACTTTCCTAATCAGAGATATCTACAGATAATCATGACCTCTACAGAGCATATTTTTCAATATGGATTTTTTTCATAGATGCCTCATTAATGTCAAATCAAAATAGCGTTCCAAGACATCATATTATTTGGATAAAGACATCTACAAATACTGTTTCTGACTCTATAACATTTTAAGATGTATCAACACTTTGCTAGAATACTACATAGTTTGCATAATAGAAATTCTACCAGTATCCATCTACAGTGCAGAGGATATGATTCCGACTTGCAAACAATATTTCATTCTAATTCTATTGACCAAGCTTTTGTTTACTACATGGTTAAATTGTACATTCATGAGTATGTTGTTGAGCTTGAACACAGTTTTCTAGCTATTCTTGCTCAGGTAAAAAGCTGCTGTTGCTATATATAGTTTTTGTTACCTGCATGTGTCTGAGGTGTAATAGCAAGACTATATAGGTAACAAGTTTTGCCATTACAGCTGAGACACATGTATGTTTTTATGTCTAAATATGAGACAATTTTACAACATGCATTCTCTGTCAGGTAACCTAGTTTTTCACATGGCTAACAGCACATATTAAATTATTTAATTATATAAATTGTAAATATACTTCATCTGAAATTTAGGTCCAATAATGTCAGGTCTGCAAATATTTATTCACAGTGGACTTTCATGTTTTTCAAAATACAGTAAAACCCATGTGGGGCACCTATTACAAAATTGAGCAGGGGTTCCCATGGTCCTGGCGAAACCAACATATCTGGGAGCACATGCCCAATATTACTTCTTAATTTTGTTTTCAAGAGATTGCATACAGGTGAAATGTTTATCAACCCGTGGAATATATAACTGCCATATGTTATAAATTCTTGTTTTAGAGCCTGAATACACAGAAACTCTCTATTTTGGACCCCTTAAAAATATTGAGACACATGTTCGATATAATTTTTTATTGTAAAAAAAAAGCCATACCGAGGTATTTAAAGAGATTTCATCTAGATATCAATATATGAAGAATTTCATCCCATGTTTAGCTGTAAATGTGACCTCAAGCTTTGACATATTCACCCTAAAATCAATATGACCCTTTCCTTCTACATAGCATTTATTTTAGTTTTTTTTCAAAAATCAAACTAGATAAAATGCTCTGGACATTTACCTATTATGGTCCAATATCCAAAATCTAAATACATGGTTAGATTTAGCATATCAAAGAACTGGAAGCATTAAATTTTTGATGAAATCAAACAAAGTTCAATTTTGTACCCTTTGGACCTCAATGTGAACCAATTTGATAAAGTGGCCCAAAATCCAAAATCTAAATACAGTTAGATTCAGCATATCTAAGAACTCTATATATTTATTTTTTGTTGAAATCAAACAAAGTTTAATTTCTGACCCCGATTTGGACCAACTTGAAAACTGGTCCCAAAATCAAAAGTCTAAATACATGTTTAGATTCAGCATATGAAAGAAACCCAAGAATCAAATTTTTGTTAGAATTAAACTAAGTTCAGTTTTGGACCCTTTGGACCTTACTGTAGACCAATTTGAAAACCGAGCCCAATATAAATAAACTGCTTCACTGTGCGCAGCTGGATACGCCCGCAGAGGTCCAACCCTGAACAGTTGGGGCAAAAATGGACACAATATTCAAGCTTGATACAGGTCTGAATTTGGATTGTAATTAAATATTTGACATATTATAGGTTTCTGAATAAATGTAGTCAAAGGACTTGAAATTGGTTATATGAATTGAATTTATATTCAATTAAAGATTTCTTGCTGTTGTGCAATACACTGTGCTGTTGCGCAATACTTAGTAAATCTGTTGTCAGACTATAAACAAATAAAGTTCAATTTCTTTTCAATGCCATATTTAAAATTTATGGAAATCAATAGGGAGATTACATCAATAGCTATAAATAATTCACCAAAGTTTCATGAGAACTGCTGAAAGCATTTTTGAGTTATTGTCCAAAAACTGGACAATCCCCCCTTTTTTAATGAATAAAACCCTGTAACTCGGAAACATTAAATCTAAAATTTATAAAAATCCAAAAGGGGGCTCATGTCAATAGATATCAACAATTCACCAAAATTTCTTGCAAGTTGGTGAAAGCAATCTTGAGTTATTGTTGGAAAATTTGATTTGCCCCCTTTTTTAATGAATAAAACCCCAAAACATGGAAACGGTAAATCTGAAATTTATAAAAAACGAAAGGGAGCTCACGTTAATAAATATAAACAATTCACCAAAGTTTCATGCATATTGGTTAAAGTTTTTTTGAGTTAATGTCCGACATGTTGACGATGGATGGACGGACAGACAGACCGACAGACGGTCAACGGTATACCATAATACGTCCCGTAAACGGACGTATAAAAATCTAAATACACAGTTAGATTCAGCATATCAAAGAATCCCAAGAATAAAATTTTGTTGAAATCAAACAAAGTTTAATTTTGCACCCTTTGGACCTTAATGTGGACCAATTTGAAAATGGCGTACAAAAATTAAAAAAATCTAAATACACGGTTAGATTCTATTTGGCATATCAAAGAACCCCAGTAATTCAAGACTTTGAATTAAATTCCATTGAAATTGGTCAAGAAATAAGCAATTTATACAAAGTATAAGAAAATTACTGTTTCTGGCCCCTTTATCCTAAATGGTTAGGGCCATAACCCCAAAAATCAATCCCAACCTACCTTTTTAAGTATGGAACCTTGTGGTACAATTTCATAGAAATCCATACACTGTTCCACAAGTTATTGTCTGATAACTAGAAAAATGCTTATTTGGGCCCCTAATTCCTACCCATTTAGGACAATAACCCACAATAAAATGCTTCGCTGGGCGCAGCTTGATACGACCGCAGAGGTCGAACCCTGAACAGTTGGGGCAAGTATGGACACAACATTCAAGTTTGATACAGCTCTGAATTTGGATTGTGATTAAATATTTGACACAGCATAGGTTTCTGACACAGAAAGAATGTGGTCTAAGAACTTCAATTTTTTTAATTTACCTATTATGGTCCAATGTCCAAAATCAAAATACATGGTTAGATTCAGCATATCAAAGAACCCCATATATTCAATTTTTGTTGAAATCAAACAAAGTTTAATTTTGGACCCCAACTTGGACAAACTTGAAAACTGGTCCCATAATCAAAAATCTAAACACATGTTTAGATTCAGCATATCAAAGAACCCCAATAATTCAATTTTTGATGAAATCAAACAAAGTTTAATTTTGGACCCTTTTGACCTCAATATGAACCAATTTGATAGCAGGTCCACAAATAAAAAATCTAAATACATGGTTAGATTCAGCATATCAAAGAACCCCAAGAATTCAATTTTTGATGAAATCAAAAAAAGTTTAATTTTGGACCCTTTTGACCTCAATGTGGACAAAGTTGATAACTGGGCCCAAAAATCAAAAATCTAAATACATGGTTAGATTCAGCATATCAAAGAACCCCATATATTCAATTTTTGTTGAAATCAAACAAAGTTTAATTTTGGACCCTTTTGACCTCAATATGAACCAATTTGATAGCGGGTCCACAAATAAAAAATCTAAATACATGGTTAGATTCAGCATATCAAAGAACCCCAAGAATTCAATTTTTGATGAAATCAAAAAAAGTTTAATTTTGGACCCTTTTGACCTCAATGTGGACAAAGTTGATAACGGGGCCCAAAAATCAAAAATCTAAATACATGGTTAGATTCAGCATATCAAAGAACCCCATATATTCAATTTTTGTTGAAATCAAACAAAGTTTAATTTTGGACTCCGATTTGGACCAACTTGAAAACTGGGCCCATAATCAAAAATCTAAATACATGTTTAGATTCAGCATATCAAAGAACCCTAAAAATTCAATTTTTGTTAAAATCAAACTAAGTTTAATTTTGGACCCTTTTGACCTTAATGTAGACCAATTTAAAAAATGGGACCAAAAATTAAAAATCTAAAAACACGGTTAGATTCGGCATATCAAAGAACCCCAATAATTCAATTTTTGATGAAATCAAACAAAGTTAAATTTTGGACCCTTTGGACCTCAATGTGGACCAATTTAAAAACGGGGCCCAAAATCCAAAAACTTAATACACGGTTAGATTCAGCATATTAAAGAACCCCAAGAATTCAAGAATAAAACCCCATTGAAATTGATCAAGAAATAAGCAATTTATACGAAGTATCTTCTTTTGCACAATACTGTGCAATTGAATATTTCTTGCTATTGTGCAATACTGTACAATTGACAATTTCTTGCTATTGCGCAATATTGTGCTATTGGATATTTCTTGCTATTGCGCAATACTGTGCAATTGAAGATTTCTTGCTATTGCGCAATACTGTGCAATTGAAGATTTCTTGCAATTGTGCAATACTGTGCAATTGAAAATTTCTTGCTATTGCACAATACTTATTATATAATAATTTACACATCCTGTTTGGTGTGTATCTCCTACCATATCATTATTATTTGCTTTTAAATATTAATCAGAAATAACCAACTTAAAATGGAAAATTTTAAAAGAAAAAAAGAAAAAAAAAAATCCCCCCCCAAATTTTTTGAACCCCCTTATGATTCATCACCCCCAAACTCAATCCCAGCCTTCCCTTTGTGGTATGGTACCTTGCAGTACAATTTCAGAGAGATCCATACACTTGAACACAAGTTATTGTCTGGAAACTAGAAAAATGCTTATTTTTGGCCCCTTTTTGGCCCCCAATTCCTAAACGTTTCGGGCAATTACCCCCAAACTCAATTCCAGCTTTCCCTTTGTGATATGGAACCTTGTAGTACAATTTCAGAAATATCCAAACACTTACACACAAGTTATTGTCATGAAACTAGAAAAATGCTTGTTTTTTGCCCCTTTTTTGGCCCCTAATTCCTAAAATTTTGAGGCAATTACCCCCAAAATCAATTACAGCCTTCCCTTTGTGATATGGAACCTTGTGGTACAATGTCAGAGAGATCCATACACTTACACACAAGTTATTGTCTGGAAGTTACAAAAATGCTTATTTTTGGCCCCTTTTTGGCCCCTAATTCCTTAACTGTTGGTACCATAACCCCCAAAATCAATCCCAACCTTCCTTTCGTGGTATTGAACCTTATGGTAAAATTTCATGGAGATCCATTCACTTAAACTAAAGTTAGAGTGCGAAAACCAATGTGTCTTCGGACGACGCCGGACGACGCCAGACGACGACGACGACGACGCCAACGTCATACCAATATACGACCAAAAAATTTTCAATTTTTGCGGTCGTATAAAAACAATCCCAACCATCCCTTTGAGGTATGGAACCTTGTGATGCAATTTCATAAAAATCCATACACTTATACACAAGTTTTTGTCCAGAATCAAGAAAAATGCTTGTTTTTGGCCCCTAATTCCTACCCATTTAGGACAATAACCCCCAAAATCAATCCCAACCTTCCTTTTGTAGTATAGATCCTTGTGGTACAATTTTATAAAGATCCATACAGTTTACTCAAGTTTGGAAACCATGACAACGTCATACCATTATATGACCGCAAACATTTTGCAGTCGTATAAACACTGACAATATGAGGAAGCATATTTTTGTATGAAGCACAGAAACAAATAAATGTAATAAGTTCTGGAAAAAACAAAGCAATAATTTGAACCTGTTTATAAGTTAATGGGTTTCAATTTCATACATTTTGACAACAGGAAAAAATTCAGGATAAGTTCTCAGTAAATATCAAGTTTCCTTAAAATCTGAGATGACTATGATTTTTTATGCATTATGGCAGCCATTTTATAAATGATGGTTGACAGATATTTTTTTAAATAGGAAATCAATTTGGAATAACACATTATAACTACATATCAATTTTCATTGAAATCAAATTAGAAAAAGATGCCTGTCAAAACTTATGATTTTTTAACAAGTACTAAGATGTATTGCAAATCTAACATTTGGAATATCATATTGAACCTATTTTTATAATTCTTTGTTGCAATCCTATTAAACTGACATTCCGCAGAATTTGAGATTCTTAAACAAAAAAGTTTTTAACACAATATTTTATCCCAATTTCACAATAAACTGCTTCGCTGAGTGCAGCTGGATACGCCCACAGAGGTCCAACCCTGAACAGTTGGGGCAAAAATAAGGACACAATATTCAAGCTTGATACAGGTCTGAATTTGGATTGTAATTAAATATTTGACAGATTATAGATTTCTGAATAAATGTAGTCAAAGAACTTGAAATTGGTTATATGAATTGAATTTATATTCAATTAAAGATTTCTTGCTGTTGTGCAATACACTGTGCTGTTGCGCAATACTTAGTAAATCTGTTGTCAGACTATAACAAATAAAGTTCAATTTCTTCTCAATGTCATATTTGAAATTTATGAAAATCAATAGGGAGATTACATCAATAGGTATAAACAATTCACCAAAGTTTCATGAGAACTGCTGAAAGCCTATTTGAGTTATTGTCCAAAAACTGGATAATCCCCCCTTTTTTAATGAATAAAACCCCATAACTCAGAAATGTAAAATCTAAAATTTATAAAATTCTAAAGGGAGCTTACATCAACAGATATAAACAATTCACCAAAGTTTCATGAGTACTGCTGAAAGCATTTTTTAGTTATTGTCCGAAAACTGGAAAATCACCCTTTTTCTATGAATAAAACCCTGTAACTCGGAAACGTAATATCTAAAATTTATAAAATCCAAAAGGGAGCTCATGTCAATGGATATAAACAATTCACCAAAATTTCTTGCAAGTTGGTGAAAGCATTCTTGAGTTATTGTCTGAAAACTGGAAAATCCCCCCTTTTTTAATGAATCAAACCCCAAAACTCGGAAACAGTACATCTGAAATTTATATGAAACGAAAGGGAGCTCACATCCATAGATATAAACAATTCACCAAAGTTTCATGCATATTGGTTAAAGCTTTTTTGAGTTAATGTCCGACATGTTGACGACGGACGGACAGACAGACAGATGGACGGACGGTAAACGGGCGTATAAAAACAGGATTTTTGTTACTGGGAATAGAAATCAGGCCAATATTTAAATTTGGTTAAAATCCCAGTGCAAAAAGATGATTCTCAAAATTTGTGATTTTCTAACAAAATACTAAGTTTTGACACCTGATATCAATTTGAAATAGTATACAGCAATTTCAGAAATTATTGCACGCATTTATTATTGCGATTTTTTAAGAATGGACAAATATGATAGATTAATTATTGTGATTTTAGGAAAATCTGCTTACAGATACATGTATCAGATATCAGAATGCAAGTTCTTATTATTGCAATATTCACCCAGTTATAATATTCGCATTAATGAAAACCTTGCAATAATAATTAAAATATTATACATAGTATTATCTACACATCAACATACACATCTACACTACTACTGTATAAATTTCATCAGTGTTTTACTTATACTTTTTGAATTTATGTAGTTACAAAAACTTTTTCTGAAAATTTGTGTTTTTTTTTTTACAAAAACTAAGTTTTTTGTCAAAAATTAATACACCAATTTCACTACATATAATATGCATATCTATATTATGCACAAGTGTAAAATTTCATTCAACTCCAATCCATACTTCAGAACATAAGGCATCTTTTATACAAGATCTGAAGTTTCTAGGTTTGCTACCTTCTTATATATAATGCTTTTAAAATAGGTAGATAATGTCACTGCTGCCTGATAAATAAAATGCTCTGCTGGGCGCAGCTTGATACGACCGCAGAGGTCGAACCCTGAACAGTTGGGGCAAGTATGGACACAACATTCAAGCTTAATACAGCACTGAATTTGGATTGTGATTAAATATTTGACACAGCATAGGTTTCTGACACAGAATGAATGTGGTCTAAGAACTTAAAATTTTTTAATTTACCTATTCAAACCATATCATTATTATTTGCTTTTATATATAAATCAGAAATAACCAATTTAAAACGGAAAATTCAATCCCAGCCTTCCCTTTGTAGTATGGTACCTTGCAGTACAATTTCAGAGAGATCCATACACTTGAACACAAGTCATTGTCTGGAAACTAGAAAAATGCTTGTTTTTATGCCCCTTTTTAGCCCCAAATTCCTAAACGTTTAGGGCAATTATGGATAGGGGTGTAAAGCTGCAACATGTTACCAGAGGAAAGTTAAATTATTGTATATGATACAGCTGCAACAAGGTTACACAGGAAAGTTAAATAATTGTATGAGACACAGCTGCAACAAGGTTACACAGGAAAGTTAAATAATTGTATGAGACACAGCTGCAACAAGGTTACACAGGAAAGTTAAATAATTGCGAGACACAGATGCAACAAGGTTGCATAAACAAAATATACAAGTGTTTGTGACTCAGTTTCAACACAGCTATATAGGAAAGTTGAAAAGGTTTATAGGAAAGTTGAAAAGGCTATATAGAAAAGTTGAAAAGGTTATATAGGAAAGTTGAAAAGGTTATATAGAAAAGTTGAAAAGGTTATATAGGAAAGTTGAAAAGGTTATATAGGAAAGCTGAACAAGTGATGTGCAAAGTGTGATTTCTAGGCTTTTATACAGTTTGGACTACTATCAATCTGTTACTTTATTCCTTAACCATTAAGGGCCTTGATGGCCGAGTGGTCTAAGGAGTTCAACTACTGTATCCTGTCAACACTGAGGTTGTGGCTTCTATTTCAAATTTTTATTGAAATATGAAGGTTAAAAAAAATCCTTATTGCTTTGAAAGTTAAAAAAAATCAACAAAGACAAACGATTCTACGGTGAGGGAATTAAAGGGGGGCAAATCATTACAAGAGTGCACATGCTGAGATGTCTCGCCTGTTTTACTCACCATTGATTTTATGTTGAAAGTCATAAAGGTAAAGGTTTTACTACAAGTAACACATAAACTTAACATTTTTAAAATCCATGACAATGAGGTCAAGGTAAGATAAATCATGTCTGTCAGACATGTTCACCTTGCAATTATTCCATACACCAAATATAGTTGACCTATTGCTTATGGTAATTGAAAACAGACATAAACACAAAATCTTAACCATGACAATGAGGTCAAGGTAAAATAAATCATGTCAGATTATACCTGCCAGACAGACATGTTCACCTTACAACCATTCCATTCACCAAATATGGATGACCTACTGCTTCTAGTATTTGAAAAAACTAACCAAAACACAAAAACTTAACATTGACCAACGAACCATGAAAATGAGGTCAAGTTCAGATGATACCTGCCAGACAGACATGTACACCTTACAACCATTCCATACACCAAATGTAGCAGACCTACTGCTTGTAGTATTTGAGAAACAGACCAAAACACAAAACTTAAAATTGACCAATGAACCATGAAAATGAGGTCAAGGTCAGATTAAACCTGCCAGACTGACATGTACCCTTTACAATCATTCCATACACCACATATTGTTTACCTACTGCCTATAGCATCTGAGAAACGGACTTAATCACATAACTTTAATCTTGATCACTGATCTATATAATGAGGTCAAGGTCAGGTGAACCCTGTCTGACTGACTTATTTGTAGATCTTACTTTGCTGGAACCATTTTTTCATTTACACTTTCTCTCTTTCTATAATAATATTAAAGATAATACAGAACCCAAAACCTTAAAATTTCCTATAATTAACTATTTCTGGACAGTAACCCAACAATAAGTTGTCCTATTGGTCTGAAGATTACTTGACAGGTAGATCTAAACCTGTTTAACACTTTCACCTATGTCAGTTTTGCTCTTACTGGTTTAGTTTTTGAGATGAAAGCAAATAAAATGCTCCGCTGGGCGCAGCTTGATACGACCGCAGAGGTCGAACCCTGAACAGTTGGGGCAAGTATGGATACAACATTCAAGCTTGATACAGCACTAAATTTGGATTGTGATTAAAAATTTGACACAGCATTGGTTTCTGACACAGAATAAATGTGGTCTAAGAACTTAAAAAAATTTAATTTACCTATTCAAACCATATCATTATTATTTGCTTTTATACATAAATTAGAAATAACCAATTTAAAATGGAAAATTTTAAAGAAAAATAAAATGGTCCGCAGGGCGCAGCTTGATACGACCGCAGAGGTAGAACCCTGAACAGTTGGGGCAAGTATGGACACAACATTCAAGCTTGATACAGCTCTGAATTTGGATTGTGATTAAATATTTGACACATAAAATTGAGAATGGAAATGGGGAATGTGTCAAAGAGACAACAACCCGACCACAGAACAGACAACAGCAGAAGGCCACCAACAGGTCTTCAATGCAGCGAGAAATTCCCGCACCCGGAGGCGTCCTTCAGCTGGCCCCTAAACAAATATATATACTAGTTCAGTGATAATGAACGCCATACTAAACTCCAAATTGTACAGCATAGGTTTCTGACACAGAATGAATGTGGTCTAAGAACTTAAAAATTTTAAATTGGACATTCACCTATTATGGTCCAATATCCAAAATCTAAATACATGGTTAGATTCAGCATATCAAAGAACCCCAAGAATTCAATTTTTGGTGAAATCAAACAAAGTTTAATTTTGGACCCTTTTGACCTCAATGTGGACAAAGTTGATAACGGGGCCCAAAAATCAAAAATCTAAATACATGGTTAGATTCAGCATATCAAAGAACCCCATATATTCAATTTTTTTTGAAATCAAACAAAGTTTAATTTTGGACCCCGATTTGGACCAACTTGAAAACTGGGCCCATAATCAAAAATCTAAATACATGTTTAGATTCAGCATATCAAAGAACCCTAAAAATTCAATTTTTGTTAAAATCAAACTAAGTTTAATTTTGGACCCTTAGGACCTTAATGTAGACCAATTTGAAAACGGAACCAAAAATTAAGAATCTAAATACACGGTTAGATTTGGCATATCAAACAACCCCAATAATTCAATTTTTGATGAAATCAAACAAAGTTAAATTTTGGACCCTTTGGACCTCAATGTGGACCAATTAAAAAACGGGTCCCAAAATCCAAAAACTTAATACACAGTTAGATTCAGCATATTAAAGAACCCCAAGAATTCAAGAATAAAACCCCATTGAAATTGATCAAGAAATAAGCAATTTATACGAAGTATCTTCTTTTGCACAATACTGTGCAATTGAATATTTCTTGCTATTGCGCAATACTGTACAATTGACAATTTCTTGCTATTGTGCAATATTGTGCTATTGGATATTTCTTGCTATTGTGCAATACTGTGCAATTGAAGATTTCTTGCTATTGCGCAATACTGTGCAATTGAAGATTTCTTGCTATTGTGCAATACTGTGCTATTGAAAATTTCTTGCTATTGCACAATACTTATTATATAATAATTTACACATCCTGTTTGGTGTGTATCTCCTACCATATCATTATTATTTGCTTTTAAATATAAATCAGAAATAACCAACTTAAAATGGAAAATTTTAAAAGAAAAAAAAAAGGAAAAAAAGAAAAGAAAAAAAATCCCCCCCCCCAAATTTTTTGAACCCCCTTATGATTCATCACCCCCAAACTCAATCCCAGCCTTCCCTTTGTGGTATGGTACCTTGCAGTACAATTTCAGAGAGATCCATACACTTGAACACAAGTTATTGTCTGGAAACTAGAAAAATGCTTATTTTTGGCCCCTTTTTTGCCCCCAATTCCTAAACGTTTCGGACAATTACCCCCAAACTCAATTCCAGCTTTCCCTTTGTGATATGGAACCTTGTAGTACAATTTCAGAAATATCCAAACACTTACACACAAGTTATTGTCATGAAACTAGAAAAATGCTTGTTTTTTGCCCCTTTTTTGGCCCCTTATTCCTAAAATTTTGAGGCAATTACCCCCAAAATCAATTACAGCCTTCCCTTTGTGATATGGAACCTTGTGGTACAATGTCAGAGAGATCCATACACTTACACACAAGTTATTGTCTGAAGTTACAAAAATGCTTATTTTTGGCCCCTTTTTGGCCCCTAATTCCTTAACTGTTGGTACCATAACCCCCAAAATCAATCCCAGCCTTCCTTATGTGGTATTGAACCTTATGGTAAAATTTCATGGAGATCCATTCACTTTAACTAAAGTTAGAGTGCGAAAACCAATGTGTCTTCGGACGACGCCAGACGACGACGACGACGACACCAACGTCATACCAATGTACGACCAAAAATTTTTTAATTTTTGCGGTCGTATAAAAAGGAACCCCCTTATGATTCATCACCCCAAACTCAATCCCAGCCTTCCCTTTGTGGCATGGTACCTTGCAGTACAATTTCAGAGAGATCCATACACTTGAACACAAGTCATTGTCTGGAAACGATAAAAATGCTTGTTTTTTGGCCCCTTTTTGGCCCCAAATTCCTACACGTTTAAGGCAATTACCCCCAAACTCAAACCCAGCTTTCCCTTTGTGATATGGAACCTTGTAGTACAATTTCTTAAAGATCCATACACTCACACACAAGTTATTGTCCTGAAACTAGAAAAATGCTTGTTTTTTTGCACCTTTTTTGCCCCTAATTCCTAAAATTTAGAGGCAATTACCCCCAAAATCAATCCCAGCCTTCTCTTTGTGGTATGGTACCTTGCAGTACAATTTCAGAGAGATCCACACACTTGAACACAAGTCATTGTCTGGAAACTAGAAAAATGCTTGTTTTTTGGCCCCTTTTTGGCCCCAAATTCCTAAACGTTTTGGGCAATTACCCCAAAACTCAAACCCAGCTTTTCCTTTGTGATATGGAACCTTGTAGTACAATTTCATAAAGATTCATACACTTACACACAAGTTATTGTCATGAAACTAGAAAAATGCTTGTTTTTTGCCCCTTTTTTGGCCCCTAACTCCTAAAATTTTGAAGCAATTACCCCCAAAATCAATCCCAGCATTCCCTTTGTGATAAGGAACCTTATGGTACAATGTCAGAGAGATCCATACACTAACACATAAGTTATGTCTGGAATTTACAAAAATGCTTATTTTTGGCCCCTAATTCCTTAACTGTTGGTACCATAACCCCCAAAATCAATCCCAACCTTCCTTTTGTGGTATTGAACCTTATGGTAAAATTTCATAGAGATCCATTCACTTAAACTAAAGTTAGAGTGCGAAAACTAATGCGTCTTCGGACGACGACGCCGGACAACGCTGCCGATGCCAACTTCATACCAATATACGACCACAAAAATTTTTTTGCGGTCATATAAAAACTTCATTTGACCCTATGTTCTATTTTTAGAAACTGCCGCCATGTTTTTAAATGGATCAAATTCCCAAATACAATCTATAAACTAGATACCCTAAGGAACATTCAATTAAAGTTTCTAAATATTTGGCCAAGTAGTTTCAGAGAAGAAGATTTTTGAAAAAGTAATAAGATTTTCGCAAAAAATGTAAAAAAAAAAAAGGCAAAAAAACCTTGTAAGGGCAATAACTCCTTAAGGGGTCAATTGACTATTTTGATCATGTTGACTTATTTATAGATCTTACTTAGCTGATCATTTATTACCATTTATTCTTTCTATCTATCATAATATCAAAGAAAATAACCAAATACAGTAAAATTTAATAAAAACAAGCATTCTGAGAGTATTGCATGGCAATACATAGTCCCCTACCGGGTAAAAATTCATTATACTGGAACAAAATGCTAACTTGTTCTATTCTTGTCATGGTGTAAACAACAAAAGGCTCTCAAGAGCCTGAATCGCTCACCTGAATTTCAGAGGAGAAGATTTTTAATTGTTATCAAACTTGATGAACAAATTGTGTAAAATTGTCTTTAAAGGGCAATAACTCCTTAAGGGGTCAATTGACAATTTTGGTCATATTAACTTTTTTGTAGATCTTACTTTGCTGAACATTATTGCAGCTTACAGTTTTTATATATCTATAATAATATTCAAAATAATAACAAAAAAATGCAAAATTTTGTTAAAACTACCAATTCGGTGGCAGCAACCCAACAATGGGTTGTTCGATTTGTCTGATAATTTCAGGGCCGATAGATCTTGACCAATTAAACAATTTTACCCCCATGTCACATTTGCACTAAAAGATTTAGTTTTTGAGATGTAAGCCAAAAACTGCATTTGACCCTTATGTTCAATTTTTAGCCATGGCGGCCATGTTTGTCGATGGATACAAACTTCGGATACAATTTATAAACAAGATACCCTAAGGAACATTTAGTTAAAGTTTGAAGGTAATTGGCCTAGTAGTTTCAGAGGAGAAGATTTTTAAATGTTAGCAAACTTGATGAACAAATTGTGTAAAATTGTCTTTAAAGGGCAATAACTCCTTAAGGGGTCAATTGACAATTATGGTCATATTAACTTTTATGTAGATCTTACTTTGCTGAACATTATTGCTGCTTACAGTTTATATATATCTATAATAATATTCAAAATAATAACAAATAAAATGCTTTTCTGGGCACAGCTTGATACGACAGCAGAGGTCGAACCCTGCACAGTTGGGGCAAGTAATGGACACAACATTCAAGCTTGATACAGCACTGAATTTGGATTGTGATTAAAAATTTGACACAGCATAGGTTTCTGACACAGAATGAATGTGGTCTAAGAACTTAAATTTTTTAATTTACCTATTCAAACCATATCATTATTATTTGCTTTTATATATAAATCAGAAAAAACCAATTTAAAATGCAAAATTTTAAAGAAAAAAAAAGGAAAAAAAGGAAAAAAAAATCCCTCCCCCAAATTTTTTGAACCCCCTTATGATTCATCAACCCCAAACTCAATCCCAGCCTTCCCTTTGTGGTATGGTACCTTGCAGTACAATTTCAGAGAGATCCATACACTTGAACACAAGTTATTGTGTGGTAACTAGAAAAATGCTTGTTTTTTAGGTCCCTTTTTGGCCCCAAATTCCTAAACATTTAGGGCAATTACCCCCAAACTCAAACCCAGCTTTCCCTTTGTGATATGGAACCTTGTAGTACAATTTCATAAAGATCCATACACTTACACACAAGTTATTGTCCTGAAACTAGAAAAATTCTTGTTTTTTCCCCCTTTTTGGCCCCAAATTCCTAAAATTTTGAGGCAATAACCCCCAAAATCATTCCCAGCATTCCCTTTGTGGTATGGTACCTTGCAGTACAATTTCAGAGAGATCCATACACTTGAACACAAGTTATTGTCTGGAATCTAGAAAAATGCTTATTTTTGGCCCCTTATTCCTAAACATTACAATTACCCCCAAACTCAATTCCAGCTTTCCCTTTGTGATATGGAACCTTGTAGTACAATTTCATAAAGATCCATACACTTACACACAAGTTATTGTCCTGAAACTATAACGGTTGTATAAAAATGCTTGTTTTTTGCCCCTTTTTGGCCCCTAATTCCTAAAATTTTGAGGCAATTACCCCAAAAATCAATCCCAGCCTTCCCTTTGTGGTATGGTACCTTGCAGTACAATTTCAGAGAGATCCATACACTTGAACACAAGTTATTGTTTGGAAACTAGAAAAATGCTTATTTTTGGCCCCTTTTTGGCCCCTCATTCCTAAACGTTTTGGGCAATTACCCCCAAACTTAATTCCAGCTTTCCCTTTGTGATATGGAACCTTGTAGTACAATTTTAGAAAGATCCATACACTTCCACACAAGTTATTGTCATAAAACTAGACAAAATGCTTGTTTTTTTCCCCTTTTTTGGCCCCTAATTCCTAAAATTTTGAGGCAATTACCCCCAAAATCAACCCCAGCATTCCCTTTGTGATATGGAACCTTGTGGTACAATGTCAGAGAGATCCATACACTTACACACAAGCTATGTCTAGAAGTTACAAAAATGCTTATTTTTGGCCCCTTTTTGGCCCCTAATTTCTTGACTGTTTGTACCATAGCCCCCAAAATCAATCCCAACCTTCCTTTTGTGGTAATGAACCTTATGGTAAAATTTCATAGAGATCAATTCACTTAAACTAAAGTTAGAGTGCGAAAACCAATGTGTCTTCGGACGACGATGACGCCAACGTCATACCAATATACGACCATAAAATTTTTTTAGCGGTCGTATAAAAACAGTAAAATTTCATAACAAGAGGCTGTCAGAGTGACAGCAAACTGGATTTTTCCTGCAGAGGTCGAACCCTGAACAGTTGGGGCAAGTATGGACACTACATTTAAGCTTAAAACAGCTCTGAATTTGGATTGTGATTGAATATTTGACACAGCATAGGTTTGTGTGAATATTTGACACAGCATAGGTTTGTGTGAATATTTGACACAGCATAGGTTTGTGTGAATATTTGACACAGCATAGGTTTGTGTGAATATTTGACACAGCATAGGTTTGTGACACAAAATGAATGTGGTCAAAGAACTGAAATATTTGAAATTGGACATTTACCTATTATGGTCCAATATCCAAAATCTAAGTACATATTAGAATCAGCATATCAAAGAACCCCAAGAATTCAATTTAAAAAAAAAATCAAACAAAAGTTTAATTTAGGACCCTTTGGACCTCAATGTGTACCAACTTGATAATTGAGCCCACAATCTAAAATCTCTCAATACATGGTTAGATTCAGCATTTCAAAGAACCCCATGAATTCAATTTTTGTTGAATCAAACATAGTTTAATTTTGGACCCTGATTTGGACCAACTTGAAAACTGGGCCCAAAAAATCTAATGTTTAAATACAGGTGTAGATTCAGCATTTGAAAGAACCCTATACATATTTAATTTATGTTGAAATGAAACACAGGTTAATTTTATCCATAATATTTTCTGTACAAAGGGAAATAACTCAAACTGGATAAATAGTTCTCAAAATTAAGGCATGTAATATATGATGCAATTTTTTCAAATTATAATCGATTAATATAATAACAACAACCAGTGATGACTAAGTTCTCTAAAATTAGATATGATTTAACACTCAAACATTGTTAGAACCAGCATATCAAAGAACCAAAGAATTCAATTTTTGATGAAATTAAACTATAATTTAGTTTAGGATCCTTTGGACCTCAATGTGGTATAATCTTATTATAATGAAAAGAAATACAGGTTTAGATTAAGCATTTCAAAGAACCCTATATATATTCAAGTTATGTTGAAATCAAACACAGTTTAATTTTGGACCCCGATTTGGACCAACTTGAAAACTGGGCCCAAAATCAGAAATCTAAATATATGATTATTAATAGACAATATAAGCTTAGTTTTTAAAGAGTTCACTTCATCAAAAAATAAACTGCTTCGCTGAGCGCAGCTGGATACGCCCGCACTGGTCCAACCCTGAACAGTTGGGGCAAAAATGGACACAATATTCAAGCTTGATACAGGTCTGAATTTGGATTGTATTAAAAAATTTACATATTATAGGTTTCTGAATAAATGTACCGGTAGTCAAAGAACTTGAAATTGGTTATATGAATTGAATTCATATTCAATTAAAGATTTCTTGCTGTTGTGCAATACACTGTGCTGTTGCGCAATACTTATGAAATCTGTTGTCAGACTATAAATAATTAAAGTTTAATTAATTCTCAATGTCATATTCGAAATTTATGAAAATGTAAAGGGAGCTTACATCAATAGATATAAACAATTCACCAAAGTTTCATGAGAATTGCTGACAGCATTTTTTGAGTTATTGTCCAAAAACTGGAAAATCCCCCCTTTTTTATTGAATAAAACCCCATAACTCAGAAATGTAAAATGTAAAATTTATAAAATTCTAAACGGAGCTTAAATCAATAGATATAAACAATTCACCAAAGTTTCATAAGAACTGCTGAAAGCATTTTTGATTTTTTGTCGGAAAACTGGAAAATCCCCCTTTTTTAATGAATAAAACCCTGTTACTCGGAAACGTAAAATCTAAAATATATAAAAATTGAAAGGGAGCTCATGTCAATAGATATAAATAATTCACCACAATTTCTTGCAAGTTGGTGAAAGCATTCTTGAGTTATTGTCCGAAAACTGGAAAATCCCCCTTTTTTTAATGAATAAAACCCCATAACTCGGAAACGTAAAATCTAAAATTTATAAAAAACGAAAGGGAGCTCACATCAATAGATATAAACAATTCACCAAAGTTTTATGCAAATTGGCTAAAGCATTTTTGAGTTAATGTCCGACATGTTGACGACGGACGGACAGACGGACGGATGGACGGACGGACAGACGGACAGACGGACAACGGTATACCATAATACGTCCCGTAAACGGGCGTATAATAAAAATATATAGCAGTCAGAAAATTAGTTTTTACAGAATAATAAACAAACTTGCCACAAAATTCTTCAAACAATTTACCAAAGAAAAGAAGAAAATAAATGTGGATAGTGTCCACATGTGGACACAGATGATGCCCCCGCTTGCATATCATATAGTTATA